TAGCTTAGTGGTCGAAGCATTTTTACAGCAAGCGGAAGACCCAGGTTCGAGTACCAATCCAGTTCACTTATCTTTCCTTGGACCTTACACTATTTCGAAATCCCATTACAGTCTAATACAAGTATCCAATGTAGCTACTGTTGCCAAACTGAAGCGTGCGTTTTCATAGGAACATATGTATATCCAAGTATATACGTAACGTATACAATGGCGAAACGAATGATCCTGTTTCGAGCTCGATACTAGCAACGCTCAATTCTCGGAAAACACCATGTTCCGATTGTCCCATCTACATCGTACGTGGGTTGTGCGTTACTGGAAACCCTTGTATATTTATTCGTGAATATTCCTAGGACACGTGTGCATAAACAAGGTTATCCGATCTACCGTACAGAACGACCTGGGAGCCCACCTATCGAGTGGGGTTTTCTTTTTCCAAATAGTTTATACAACTTTACGGGACATCCTAATACCACCTAAAACAAATTTAAAAGTTTCCAAAATCTTAGGCTGTTGTCAATGTATGCTTCTATGTGCACGGAAACCATAATTGCCTATTCGAGATGATTGACGTTCTATGTTCCTCACAAGAAATGTATAAGCTTACTTGAAGCACTAAAAAAAAACGCTACTACCGAGATCGTTTATTTTCTTATAAAATTTCTCCTGTACACCATGCATGCTGAGCTTCGAGTTTTATGGATCTTACATTCTCCTCTGACTCTACTTGCAGCTGTATGTGCAAGTAGTATGTGTAATGCACATACGAAGTGCATTGTATCTTGCATACGGTAATAATTTAACTTTGACTGCATTCTCATGCTCAGTTGATTTTATCGAAAATTGAATTCAGATGAAATCCTTGGCGATTCCATAAAGAAAAAGTCAGTCGACGCATGGCACAGTCCTTTATGGCACAGCTGTAGGATCCTGCTCTATCAAAGCTAGCAGTCGAATAGGGCTTTCGTGAAAATCGAGAAATCTCCGATTTGCATGTAGTTACCGAAAGTACTGTCAGAGGTGTTGTTTCCGAATAATAAACTATAATTGCGAATGCTGGCTAGCCGGGACTCTTACGATTACACTGACTGTGGATTAACCGTAGTAAAAGCTTATACGGCAGATCCAGTAGCAACGCTGCTAGCAATGGTAGCAATAGTATCAACGGTACCTGTTTACCGTACGCTATCGCTGGAAGTAATTTCAAAGGTAAAACAGAATGGTTAGTCTGCCGTCTCGGGTGCTTGGAAATCTTTCCCGAGTGAATAAACGGGACGATCAAACGTATTTCGAAAGTAGCTGAACAATCACACGATCTAAAGAACAGTCTGCGTGTAGCGTAGGCAACTTTGAAAATTGGTCATGGTATCCGTACTGGCATTAGTATTTCGGTGAATGATCCTCGAAATACATAAAAGTTAGGGATGAGAATAAGGGAGGTTTTTATCCAAAGAGAAGAATAGAGAGAAAAGGGTAGAAAGGACAGAAGAACGTAGAGGCGAAAAGACGATGGTCGGAGGTAGCTGCAGGACTTTTGAAACAATGAGAGCCCTAATCATTCACGATCGTGTAGCATCAGTTAACGGATGAGAAACCTGGGGTGGTTGTTCGTTGAGAGTATCTGCAAGACAGACGTGCGCATTAACGCCTTCAACCCTTAGCAGGGCAGTGACTCTCGTTCGTAGGAGCTCTGACGAGTAAGCTCGGCGCGAAAGCATCGCTGTCTTTTTTAAGAGGATAAGGTCACCTGGGAAATGCGTTCCTGCGAAGATCGTTTGGTAGGGTAAAGCAGCGTTCGACAGACAGGTATCCCACCTAACCGAACTGCTAAACGAGAGATTGGAAACTCGTGTCATCCGTGAAACGGATCGGCGATTTTCTGGTGTGCTCGGCTAGCGTAAACATCCGCGTTTATGAAATAGCAATGAATTATTCATGCAAATTTGTACTGCACGCGGTAATCACCAAGTATAATATCTATTACGTTAATGGGACTCACGATGCGTTGATGGAGACGAGATGAAAGCATCGTTGTAAATATTCATGATGATTAGTACAGTTACGAGATTATCGTATAAAATGTAACTATCCCTTGTCTTTGCGTCTGACTGATCTAAAGAGTTAGTTCCTCGAGCTGTCGACTGGTACAGTGTACTGCGCTGCTTGAACAAACAAAAGTTTGAACACGAAGACAGGAGTTACTGGGATGGTGACTTCGTAACGTACATCGACTATGTCGAATACCCATATTGAGTTTTCTTTTTTTTCTTTCTTTTATTTTCTCATCTATTTTTCTTCGACTTCCTCCCTCTCGACCTAACGTTTTAGAAGCACTTAAATATCTCGAGGTTTTCATAGCCAAGAAGTTCCCTTTCTTGTGCCATCGTAGCCTCTGTACATTTTTGAGACTGGAAATACTCGAGTGTAAAAATATCTAAGGGGACACTCGTGGAAAAATGAAGGAGTAAAATGTGTGAGCAGTGCAGCCCAACTGGGAAAGATAGAGAATAGGAGAAATGGCTCAAAGGTTTAAGGTTGGGGTCCTGTCAGAAGGGGGTTACGTCTGCGTGAATCAGTGAGTGCAATGTTAGGAGTATACCTACCTAACCCTTGTCTATAGTACGCCATCTGACTAGTGCCGGACCTCGTAGCCTACACGTGCTTCCCATAAAGATATTACGTTATATCGCAAGGTGTCCAACCTGACGACATATTGGATCGACGACAATTTTCGTTTATGCAATTCAGCTCTAAAAAAAAGGTTCGAAGCTCGTGGGTTCATCTCGTAAATTGTCCTTTGGAAAGTTTAACTGAAACTTTCCCAGGGGACTGGCTAGCCATTTTGCGCCTCACGGTGCCCATTATGATCGGTCCCTCTGGTCACTTCGATACTCAAAAACGATCCGTGGAAATCCAAAAAGCACTGCCGGTAGCTATCGGCCAGGAGAAATGAAAGAAAAAAACTACATTTCACAAATTTATCATGTCCACGGAAGAAAGTTTTTTGAGCAAGGGGAAAATGCTAGGCAAAAAAAGGTCCAATCTCGTAGACTGACAATACGTATCTACTTGGGAAAATACACTAGCTTAATATCATTAATTCTTCCTGGAATTGGTGTAAGTCTAACGGCGGAATGTGCAAATACGATTTGGAACATCAAATACTTGCTTTCGCGCGGCGCAGGTAACCAGACTACGGGATGGAATTTTATTCCTACCCTTTAGCCACACTTGCGATTCGCTGAAATACGAACGCAGGCAGAAACGTATAACAGACACCACCCAAGCATCTCAGGCAACAACGAACCTACCCCGATTGACTAATATTTAATGATCGAACGGTTTTCTTCTTGCATCCAAGAGAATGCCACTTTATAATGGCTACTGACGTGACATCGTCGTCCTACGTAGACGTAACATCGATTTTAATCAGTAACACGCTGTTGTTCTGGTGCTTCCTACCGACATCAAAGTCTCTTTTTTAAACCCCATTTAAACACAAAGCTCCATGTATATCTATAGAATTTTTATGCACACGTTTGATCTGTTTACATGCACTATATCAATTTTTTTTTTCACAGAATGTTGCGTTATCAGTTTATTGTATATTGAATTTATAAAATTGGTGTCAAGCGGGGAACAGTTTTCATTTTTAATGGGTTTATACATCAAATTGATGGACTTGATACAAAAAAAACAACTGACAATTATAATATGTACATGCTGAATGTATCGGATTTGACCCAAAATTTATCAAAATGAGATGTACGAGATTTAAAAAAATGCATAAGGACGTTAAAAATCTTTTGCCGTTAGATTGAACTACTGATCGTGGAATCGGATATCCCTTGTAGGAAATGTATTTTTGTGCTAGAAATTTGAAAGGAGAGCTAAGTCTTATTTTGACAAGGAAGTTGGGGGGCAATGAACGTCGTAGATACGAAGGTAACAAACACTGAACCTCGCGGAGCGCTGCATTATGGTTTCGATGCCATTGTCGAGAGTTTGTGGCGCCCGAGTGCACTTCCGATGCACCCAGTGCATCTTTCTCGAGACAGGTGGTGCTCTATTGTTCGGGTAAAATATTGAGGTTCGATATTTTTCCTCGGTTGAACGGGAGAAAAGAGTTTAAGCGTTTAAAAAGAAAAAAAAAAGGGGACAATCGTATTTATACGTACGAATATAGAAACGAATGCTGTGCTTTGTAAACTTCATTAGCTAGGCCGCATTATGGACGGGGAGAAGCAAGAAGGAAAAAAAAATGAAACCAATCGTAACCCTAAAAGTTTCAGTGGAATTTCATTGTGCCAAACCTAGAGACCCTTTCACGCAATTTCGATGTACCCAAACGAAAGGCGAAACGCTAGCAATAACATTTATTATATTCGCCACGATCCTCAGTCGGGAGTCTGAATTAAACATGGCGTCAGCTTGCTCCGTTAGAATTTCACCGGTGCCCAACCTAATACGTATTTGCCGAACGAAGAATCGAATTCGCCAGATGCTTCGCCACGATTTATTCATCTCGAAGAAGTTCTCATGTATGTAACTCGTGTTTTTGCGAAACCTTGGAAAACTGTGTAGCTTCGCTCGTTGGATAAAATACATTTTTTCTTTGCAGCAAAGTATAACTTGGTGGGACGGGTACCGCTGATGTAAGACAGAATCATAATCTTTATTTTCTGGAGGAAAAAGTACCGAAACGATTCGTTTCTGGATAATATCTTTTTTTTTCGTATCCTGGTAAATAACAATAAGGGGATACGGCACGGTAAGTGGTCCAATTAATTTATGATTTCGCCTTGGCCCGTGCTTCTCTCGGAATCTGCGCTAATTGTGAGGTAGAAGGTAATACGACACTCTGGCGTCTGCAGTAACATGCCACGACCTAAGGACCACTGGGGACAATGGGGCGACTTCGTACTTTCACCCCCCCTCCCCGCCCGGTTCCACCATCTTTGAAAGGAATAAACGTTTTTAGTCATAGATAAAATACTCACTGTCTTGTTTCCCAAGTTCTTCACGCGACAAGTCAGGTAGGTCGTCTTTCCCAGGAGTGCCGTCACGTTCTTTGAGGCCCACTTGTCGAAATACGGACCTGATCTCGTCGTATCGTCCAGGGCATTTTGAAAGCTGTCCCCGTTCTTTGCGCTGCTTCCGCTGTGTACCAATCCACAGACACCTGGAACAGCAAATAAAAGTTACATTATACCGTTGTGCTTCCACGTGGAGTGACAAAAAGTGCAGCACTACACGGAAAGTGAGAACAATATCGAATCAGTTTTTAATGAACAAGCTACGAGAATTACTGCACCGCATTGCATGTCGGCATATTAATTCTGCCGGTACACCCAATTACATACTGATTGTGAGGCGTTACAGTAAAATTTCAGTAAAATAATTTAATTATCGTATACAGCAATTAGTTGAATATCCTTCCAGAGCCAGCGTTGAAATTCGTTTAAACCGATTATTCTTGCCGTAGAATTCTTTTGGTTATTTAACGCTAGAAATTTGAGCAATTTTCCTCGTCTCGCGAGTTTCTACTTTCAACGCCATCCTCCCACTTTTCCGCTTTCGTTTGGACTTCCGGCGGTTCGAGTTCGCGTTTTCTAATCTCACTACTCCTAGAACGAGCGGCGTCTAACGTGACGTCTAACGTTTCCTCAACGTCTTACGCCATAAGGGGTATCGCAGAAGAGGGTAGTCATCCTATCGATTAGGAGTGTCTTCTCTTAAATCCAAGGGAAGGTAGTAAACGCCTCCACCAGTTCAGCCGTAGCCGCCCTGCTGGAGGGAACCGGTATACATTAAAGAGATAACTCAAGAGAACTTATCGGCAACAGCTAACGATCTGTTAGTGGAGCGTAATTACGTCAAAGTCGGAGACGGTTTGGGAATCTCTGTCTGGTGTTTTGACGATATGACACCCGTGAAATGTACAATAGAATGGCGAGAGAACTTAATCAGAGCACTTGCTCAGCGCTATCTGTTTCGCCGGGCCATTAAGCTCGATTTGGGATAGTATCACGGTATAACGAATGAGCGGTGGATTGCGAGAAGCAGCTATAGATGCTGGAATGCCCATCGAGGGCAGAATAAACCCTGGGACGCCTTCGATTGGTACGAGAGAATTTATCAGATCTGTTTGATTTGACTCGTTAGGAAGCAACGAGATTGATCCGATCGGTTCAACTGAGATTCAAGGTGAGTCTTGACGACACGGAGATCCTCTCTTAAATTTCGCGATTTTACGGCTCGCACGTCGAACCTGCCTCATAAAATATCTACGCGAGAGAGTTATCTTTCAATCTACCCTTGTCTGGTGTCTCGGGGTGAGTTTGGCTGCGGCGCTCGCTACGCAAAACAGCTCCTATTTTAAAATTCAAATTCCCAACTTTTGCTTAAACGTCGTAGAACGGTGAACATCGGAGGAGAATGTTAGGGTAGAAAGAAGATGAGGAGGCGAAGCTGTCGGAAGAACAGGAGCAACAGGAGTAGAAGGACTGAAGATGGAGAAAGGAGAGAGGGAGAGGGGACGATGGCGAAAGAGACAGGAAGATCACGGGTAAATCTTGCAGGACGTATGTAAAAATTTCCAAAGGGATGGAAAGTCGGGTTTCCTCAATCTACGATAAGTAAATTGGACCTCAGTGGTCCGATCTTGCATGGAATTTCGATAGTCGTTCCATGAGGTTGCTTTAGAGCCAAGACAAAGAATGTTGGTCGATTATCGTTAGGCTATATCGACTCCCATTATTTTCAACTAAATTCTGAACATATTGGCTGAGCTTGTCCATCGAGTCCCTAGAAATAGGCTGGTTCGTCCCTTCCCGACGGCACACAGGGTGCATCGAGGAACCGAAGGTCTTTGTGAACGAGCGTCTCCGTAAAGAATCGAGAAACCTGATGAGTGGACCCTGGGTGCCCCAGCGCGAACAGGAAGAATGGGATAAGTCCCTTTGATGGAACCAATGTAAAATGGTCGAGGAGTCCCATTTCCCAGAGGGTCGAGTAGGAATAAAAGTTTTTCGAGCACAGTATGGCGGACAGAGGATCAGAGCACCATTTCATTCAAGGTACCTTACCCAATAAATAAGCCGACCGCAGCATCATATTTCTTCGTCGCGAGAGACTACGGCTAGCCCAGGATCTTACCGATATAACTCATTCTTTGTTGGGATTTATTAGGAAATTGATTTTCCTCCCCAGCAATCGGATTAATTTTCGCTATCTCGCTACAGCTCGTTTTCCTATTTAACAGAATTCCCAAGATTTATCGGCCCACAAATGAAAACAATGAATTTCATGCTACTAGCAAACTGTTGTTCTCGATGTACCTTGTAAATTTAATTGGTTCGATACCGATTGTATAAAATATTCAGAGCAAAACACACAATAATTTTTATCTCGCCCCTATAAGGCTCGCCTTTCAAATAATATCATCCGGTTTTACACGGCCATCGCAGATTGCGCTAGGTCAGAAGCGATACGATGCTCGGAAACCGTAGCTTAGGAAAAGGCATGTACCACGTGGGGCAAAAGTAAGGTTAAGGGACGTAGGTGGATGCGAGTCACGCAGCTGTTGGAGCAATAAGGGGAAAGTAGGCCGAACTGTTTACGGCAAGTACCTATCCGGTGTACAGGTGTGTACGGTACACGTCACGTCGATTGATCATGCGAATTGCTGGGAGATCGATCCCGGCGAGTGTCAGTTTTGTAAACATGCGACATTCAATCTATTTATAGAAGAGGCACGATACAGTGTATTCCTCCCCTCTCTCTCTCTCTCTCTCTCTCTCTCTCTCTCTCTCTCTCT